ACTCAGAAGCACACCTGAAACTAGGAGTTTGCTTCCAATTAGTCTTGTTGCTGTCTTTTTGGATAAATAGTGTCATTGCTATCACCAGTGCATTGAGGACACATTCTCAGAAAGGACTGGGGGTGTTATTTGAAGTCAGACCTGTAGCATTAATCCTTGTGTTGATGAAGATACATAGCCAGACATCCACGAGGTTACCTTTCCTGCCTAACACGAGCTGAACTTGATGGATTTAACACTTGTTTCAGCCACAGCATGTTCACAAGTCTCAGCAGGCCCCGGACCTACCACGTAACTTGGACACTTCTGGTTCAGAGAAGCACATTAACTCACCCCAGGCTTATCTTCCACACCACGCAGGGCACGGAGGATGCTCGCTGCCCTTGCAGCAAGGTGACCAGCCGCTCCTTCTGTCATTGCCTCTCCTTCTTCCTCGCCTCTGTGGTCTGCAATTGGCTCTGTTCACTCGATGAGAGATGGCTGGAGGTGAGCACTTTAGGAAGGCTCTCCTCCTCCTTCCACCTGTTTTTCATTCCTTGACTCACTGGCTTTAAGCTGTAAGCGGTGACGTGACAGCTGAGTCATGGGCGCGCCACCTGGATGCTGTCAGCATCAATCTCTCTTATAAGGATCATAGAGGAGCAAAACAGAAAAGACCGTTTGGGCTTTGCATCCATCTTCCTGCCAGCAGGGACGGAGCCCTGCAGTGCAGTCACTGGCTCTGCCCAACCTCGCCCTCTGAACCCCAAACACTGCAGCCTCCACTGCTCTCCCCCAGGAAACACACCACAATCTAATAAACCTCATCGCTGAGGAGATCTCTGCTTTTCCATGGTTGTGGTTTAGTCTACATTTGGCTTATGTGAACAAAGAACTTCCTGCTGATATCCACACAGGAGATTTGTATTTTTCTTTTCTGGCAAAAGAATTCACTCAAGTGCAAAACTGGATCTAAAATGTTTTGTTTGTGTTTTGCGTAACAGTTTTAGGAGTCTCCCTGCTGCATTGTTGTACAGAGCAGATGAAAAAAAGATGCAGTCCTATGCCCTGGAGAGCTTACACTTCTCATTTAAGCGAGATACAGTGACTGAGAGTGACAAGTAACGAGACGGCAGGACACGAGTCATACGAGAAAGGTCAGAATGCTTCTAAATAAAGCCCATTGTCATGCTTTTAATTTGTTCATTTTGGATCAATCATCATTGGTGACTACCAATTGTCCCAATATGTAGGGACAATTTTACCACGTTATAATCAAACCTTCTTTAAGTCTTACGGAGCCATCTTTGTCAATCTTTCTCTTGGGTTAACCAGGCTTTTTCAAAAATAACCACCTCTGTTAGCCTGGTTATTGATGCCTGAGCATCCCAAAGGCATATGCCCCAACATGCTTAGCTTTGACTCTCCGACCATCACATCTCCCTCTTTATGCTACCTGATTAACAAAGGGATGCATTTAATTTTTGAGGCATGTATGGTAAAAGTTGATCATGGCTGCGATGCCACAGATGTCTGCTCAATGCCATCTGTCACACCTGCAGATTTGGCTATTATTCCTTCCTGATTTTATTCTTGTCTTTGTCTTGAGGGGATGAATTCTCCCTGGTACCTGACTGCAGGTTTAGTTGACTCCCAGAGGGAAGCCCAAATGCACTTCAGAAGTGTTTATAATGTTTGTCTTTCATCCTGGTTAAACCAGCTGCCCTTGCACATCAAATCCCCGCAGCAATTTTTCCCTTCACAGAATAGAAATAATTAGCCTAATTGTTGGGTGTGGAAACATTGCTAAATGAAGATAAGGGATATGCATAACAGGGCTGATTTTAGCTCTCTGACCTTCCAGCCTCCCCATTCCCTCTTCAGAAGTCACAGAGGTTGAGGCATTGCAGAGGGCTCATGAGACAAACGATGGTGCTCATCAGGAGACTCTGCCAAGCGTTTGGTCCTCATCCACACTGACCAAATGTGCACGTGTTACATTCAGAAGGCACAGGAAGGATCTCTGCCTCCTGCTAGATATCCAAATTTCCTGATATCCAACTGCCTGCTAAAATGTCAGTCTTCACCGCTTGGATTTAATCCGATGTTTAACAGAAATGTGCTTTCATCATTTGTATGTTGTACGGAAGGCCCCAGCTCAATTACAGAAACAGATGCTTGGTTGTATCGCCAGTGCGGAGTTATCCCAGCAGTCACACTGGAAAAGCGTTAGTTATCCAAGGAGACAAATTGAACAAGACAAATCTAGGGCCAACCTGCTTCTCCTCGAGCAGTTTGTGAGAGCACACTGAGAAGCAGAGGGTTGGGGAAGGAGGGCAGGATTCACCCTCACTCTGAGAGCCTGCTCTGGGGATGGGTACCGGGAGCTCCCATAAGGGTTCCTCCACATTCAGTCCTGCCAGAAACCCCAGGGTCAAAACCAAGAGAGTGATGTTCGTGGGGTGGCAGGTGATAGATAAGCTTATTCATGTCATCAAGCAGAAACAATTAGTATCTTCATATTCTATATGCTGTGAATGGAAATCATATCACCTAGTTTTAGTGAGATCTGAGCACTTTAGCATCAGGAGTGCATATGTTATGTGTTACCAGCTGTTGAATGCAAAGTTTCAGGTAGTTTATTCCGTCAGTAATAAAAACCTGTGAGTCTTGTGATATGAGAAAGGGGTAGAACAAAGCACTTCGGGGGCTCAGATGGCAATGCCACCCAAAACTTTCATCAATCATGGCCAAAGAAAGCCAGCTGCTGGGGTGAGGACATGAACCCAATGAAGCAGCAGCCCCGATCTCCAGATCAGAGTGCTTTAACCCAGAGCCCCAGATATATCACAGCATGGGATCGGTGGGAGCAGCCACCTCACCACCACAGGGCTACCTTGGGGGCATCCGCTGCGTTAGGGCTGAAACACGGATCCTTCTGGAGACAATGCTGAAATCACTCTGTTTACCTTAAAGCAATCTGACAGAGGGATTAACGAGGCGCTCCATCCCTCTCACTGCATTACAGAGCAGTGATTAAATTATTCCTAACCAAAACTGCTGGAATCGGACACCTCAGCGCCGATATCTCTGTAATCTCCTCTGCCTGCTTGTTCGAGCATTTAACTTCCCTTATTAAGAACTGTTCTGCTGGAAGTTGGAGCACACTTCTGCTTCTGCCTGTGCTGATCCATGGGCACAGCAGACGCTGCTCTACAAATTACTGTGGCTTTGCAGAGGGACCTGTGAGCTCCACTCGGAATAAAGTTCCCAGCACTGGCCACCTCATTAGAGGAGGGAGCCGATGGAAACGGGGAAGTTGCACCAGAGCCCAAATAATACGGGCACTTAATTATTCAGAAAAAGGTTTAGCAAAGCAACGGTGTGGTGGCTGCTTTTGGAAAACAGGAGATTAGAGATGATGTGGTGAGGGCTGCAGAGAGAGGGGGGGATAGGGAGGACTCACATACACAGGGAGAGCTAAGCTAGTGACAAATTCCTGAACAATAGGGAAATTAGCACATGCGTAAGTAGGGATGATCAACAAAGTGGCATCATTTATTTGCAGATGTATTTGTATTTAATGCAGCTAATATATGGAAAATTATACTAGGGCTGAAACAGAAACAGTGATTAGAAATCATGTTATGAGGCTTTGGACAAATTGCACATTACAAGGCTTTGGATAATAACACTGCAGGATGCAACTGTTAATTCAGAAGAGAGGAAGAGGATTTACAGCTTTGTCACAACTTTACCTCTTGAAACACTCAGCGGCATTGTGCTGAGTAATAGACACCCTTACTCCAGTGTGACTACCAGTACGACGCACAGGGAAAGGCTTTGCATTTATGGGATTAATTCTCCTCCCAGCTTTACATACATAGACATGAAAGATTCAGACAGTTCTGGAGGGCCTGGGCTGAATCCTGACCCGAGCAGCAGTGCAGCGAAACCTGAGTGACTCCAGAATAACACCGGAGCAAGTGAGACACGATCCTCAGGTGCATGCCTGCTGGGAGAGCCCTGCTGTCCCCTCTTTAACTCCAAGGATAGCCCACAGAAGGGTCCCAGGGCTGTGTACAGCTGTGCAGTACCCATTCGGAACTCCTCCATCTCCCACCCAAGTGCAGAGATCTCCCTGGACCTCGCACGGTCCATGTGCCCCCACCCCAGCCCTGCTGCTGGGCACAATGTATACTCCGGGGGCAGATCCCTGGAAGAACACAACGCTGCGAGAGCTCCGGCTGCACTACCACCACTTAACCGGAACATCAAAGGCAACGAATTACAATTTATGGGATGGGGGGAGGAATAAAAAAAATAAAAATTTCACGAGCGCTTGGTTTGGAGCCAACACACAAAGGGAAACCCACACAACGTGAATTCTGTGGAAGGTATTTCCTCGCAACGCCGCTCTCCCACCTGGCAGCCGGAGGGGGGGGGGCTGAGCTGGAAGGGGCGTGCGGTGCCGCCGCGCTGCTCTCCGCTACTCTCCGCGCGGCTCTGCACGGCCGCGGCCGGACGGGAGGAGCAGCGGGAGCCGAGGGGACGATGTCACCGCGCGTAAGACGGCCGCTTGTTGGCTGCGCCTGAGAATCCCCGAATCGCGCCGCGAGGGGCGGGCGGGACGGGACGGGCGAGAGAGGGATTCGGGGGGATCGGGGGGGCATCGGGTAACGTCCCGCCGCCCCTCCCCTGCATCGGCCCGCCCCACGCGGGGGCAGCTGACCGCACGCGGCCCCGGCGAAAGGCGCTGCCCCGCAGGTGGGTCCGCTCCGCTCCCCCCCGCACGTCGGGGCGGCGACGAGCGACGAGGGGCGGCCGTTCCGCGACGCCCCCGCTCCGGCCCTGCCCCGCCGGGCGCCCCGGACTCCGCGCCCCCTCGGAAGGAACGGAGCGGAGCGGAGCGGGGCGGCGGCTCTCGGAATGGCGGGGCGAGCGGGCTGAGCGGGGAGGCGCCGGCGGCGGGGGGCTCACCGCCTTCTCTCGCCGTCCCCCCCCGCAGGGAGCGGCCGGCCCCCGCGCCACCATTACCTCGCACGGAGGCAAGGAGGACCTGCTCGCTCTCGCCGCCCGGCTCTGGCAGCGGAGGAGGCGGCTGCTGGCCGCCGCCGGGCTCGCCCTGGCCATGGCCGTCGCTCTGCTCGTCGCCGTGCCCCTGCTGCTGCTGCAGGCGCCCGCCGAGAGCGGTGCCCACTACGAGATGATGGGCACCTGCCGCATGATCTGCGACCCCTACAGCGGCGCCCGCCCGCCCGGCCCCGGCAGCACCGCCGCCGTGGAGGCCCTGCAGGACCTGGGGGCCAACCCCCCGCCGCCCTTCGCGCAGGGACCCAAGGGGGAGCCGGGCCGGCCGGGCAAGCCGGGACCCCGCGGCCCCCCCGGGGAGCCGGGCCCGCCGGGCCCTCGGGGGCCGCCGGGGGAGCGGGGGGACGCGGGGAAGCCGGGGCTGCCGGGGCTGCCGCTGGCGGGGACGGGCGGCGGCGGCAGCGGCGGCGGAGCGGCGGCGGGCGGCGAGGCGGCGGGCGGGCTGAGCGCTGCCTTCGGGGGGCCGCGCATCGCCTTCTACGTGGGGCTGAAGAGCCCCCACGAGGGCTACGAGGTGCTCAAGTTCGACGACGTGGTGACCAACCTGGGCAATCACTACGAGCCGGCCAGCGGCAAGTTCACCTGCCAGGTGCGCGGCATCTACTTCTTCACCTACCACATCCTCATGCGGGGCGGCGACGGCACCAGCATGTGGGCCGACCTCTGCAAGAACGGGCAGGTGGGTGCTCGCGTCCCGGCCCCGCCGCGCTCTCACCGAGCGGCCCCCGCCGTCGGAGCCGGCGCGCACCGACGACCGCGATCGCGGGGAGGGGGAAGCGGGCGGGGAGCGGTGCAGGCACGGATGGGGCTGACAGGGCTGTGCCGCAGGTGCGGGCCAGCGCCATCGCGCAGGACGCCGACCAGAACTACGACTACGCCAGCAACAGCGTGGTGCTGCACCTGGACTCCGGCGACGAGGTGTACGTCAAGCTGGACGGAGGCAAGGCGCACGGGGGCAACAACAATAAGTACAGCACTTTCTCTGGCTTTCTTTTATACCCCGATTAAAGCGCGGTGAGCGACGTGGCCCAGCCGATCCCGCGTTTCCCCTCTGACCCCCGCTGTGCCGCGGTTCCCTGCTGCTCTCCACGGGTCACTTCAGCTTCGTTATCGGTTTCTATGTTTTTCTCTTTTTCTTTTCCCGTGGAAACAAAATACATGTGGACAACGCGACCCCTCCCTGGCTGCCCCCTTTTCCTGAGCCCCGTCCTCATGTCAGTGTTCTGTGTCACACCAGGAACCCAAGCGGTTCCTGCGCTGTATCAGAGATTCAGAGTTCAGCCTGTGCCATACACAGCATTTGAACTGCTCGAATATTATTTTTTTGGTCAATGAATATTAACTACAATGATGAATTTTCAGATGGATTATTCATGATGTGGCACTGGACCATATTTTTTCCTCTGCTGCTTCATTTGTATGGGGTCAAATGTAAACTTTTCTGTGCAATGCGATGCTCGTGTGAACGATGATGTCACTAACGTCAAACCTGTTCCTGTCTGCGAAAGAATTCAGTCGTTGACCACACTCACCAAAATATCACATTAAATTATGTTTTTAGACAATGGCTTCTCGCTGTGTGTCTCTTCTGGTGCTGCAGAGAAGCCCTGTGCTGGTGGCAGGGGGTGGGAGGTGTTGCTTCAGCCCTTTAGGTTTTCAGTGACATTAAAAGTTCAGATGGGACACCTTATCTAGGACATGATTGGGGCTCAAGAGGTCTGGAAAGAAGCAGGAAGAGGAAAAAGCCCTTTGCCTTTATGTGGTTTTGTAAAGAAGGCACAGCATCAGCAAGGGGTGGAGATAGGTGTACAGAGTGGATCTCCTGAACATCCATGGGACAGAGCCTGACCCAGAGGTGCTGAAGAACACAAAAATCATTTTGTCAGCAGTGAAACCTGTTTTCCAGTACTGTGGCAGACAAGTGCAGAAGTGTGTGGGGACAGAGGTGAGCCCCTACAGCTCAGTGCAGATGTGGGGCTGAGCTCCAGCTGGCAGTCGGCTCCAGGACAGGGACAAGAGAAGCTCAATGGGACCCAATTCACACCACTTACCTTTGTGAATGTCAGGCACAGTGTGTTTTTGTAAGTGTGTGTGATGGTGTGCATAGCCCTGAGCTCTTCCATGAGCAATGGGTGAACTGCTCTGTTTGGGTAAAATGGGATTTCTTGACTGCGAGGGAGTTAATTGAGTTACAGAAGCTGGTTCTCTGTCTGCTCTCACTTTCACCAACTGCAGCATCCCTGTGCAGACTCACATCTGGGATGGGCTCACTCCAGCCCCACACTAGGCAGCCCAGTGATGGCTGTGCTCTCACTGTCCCCATCAGCCCTTGGTGGGATGTGTCCCCTCATTGGCCATGCAGAGGGCCACAGTGTGCCCTGTTCCAGGAGGGAGAAGGCAGTTCCCGCCTTCATCCCATCCTCCAGCCTCGCCTGGCCAAGGGGAGCAGAGTTCATAACCAGGTACATGCGTTCAACAATTATCAATCTCCAACGCCTTGTCGATTTGTACCATTTAGAATATGATTAAAAGCAGTGTCTCAGACCCAAATGAAGTATAATTGCTATGGATCCCCAATTCCCTCCGGATCTGTAATCCTTTTTGACTATTCCTCCCCCCCTCTCTCAACGAAATGGAGCTTAGACACAAAGCCCTCGGTTTAAATTTCAAAAAATTAAAATTGACATGCAGCAGCATTAGCAGGAGCCAGGAGGAATTCTAAGGAGGTGCCTGGGCTCCGCTTTATCCTTTGCATTAAGAAGCAATTTGTACTTCTAACAAAGACCCAACTGTTCCCCCTTGGCAAAAGGGCAATGAAGATGCCTTGCAAGGGAATTGCTGTTCACAATACTTAAACAAATTTGAATCTTAGATTTTTAAATCTGTATTCCCCGGTGGAGCCCGCTCCTTGCAATTCTAATGCGGGGCTGGTGGTGTGTGCCTGCCAAGGTGTCAGTAGCTAAGCAGATGATGGATTGATGAGGCAATGGGAAGACACAGGCTCGTGGTGGCGGTTTGCCCCGACAGTGATCTATGTATCTGCACATTATCAATGTCATGAGGAGCCTCGAACCACCCTTGCTAGATGTCTCATTTTCCACTTATCTCTTATGTACTAATTATCGGGCTGGATTATTCCCTGGGATAGAAACAAAAAAAATGCTCCTTGCCACTCCACTGACAGTTTACACAATCGATGGAAGGATCGTCTCCTGGCTGCTCGTGTGATTTTCTGCTCCTCTCCTTCTGGCTCTGAGCTCTGAGTTGGCGCTGGGGGGTGTGGGAGCTGTTCCCACCATGGCTGTTGGGACAGAGTCCTCCTGATGGCACCTTGGGGTGCAGGTTGTTTGTNCCCCCCCCCCAGCTTCACCCATAGAATTATAGAATCATTATGGCTGGAAAAGACCTGCAAGATCACCTGGTTCAACCCCAACCCATCCTCACCATACCCACTGGCTACGTCCCTCAGTGCCACATCTCTACGGTTCTTGAACACCTCCAGGGACAGTGACTCCCCCACCTCCCTGGGCAGCCTGCTCCAGTGTCTTAACACTCCTCCTGAGAAGAATTTTTTTCTTAATATTCTACCTGAACCTCCCTGGCATAACTTGGGGCCCTTACCTCTCATTTTGTAACCAGCTGTGTACTCGAAATAATGATAAAAGCAGTTCAGATAATATTAAAAAAGTAGGTATCTGTGCCCTCACAGCAACACATTGCAGCAACAAATCCTGGATCTTTGTACCCTTGGCGGGAATCCTTTACCCTGCCCATGAGCTGGGGAAGGGAAGGTTTCCCCAGATTCCTCCTCTTGCAGAGCAGAATGGGAGAGCCCCTGATCCAGCTCCTCTTTCCTCCCGTTTGCTGGTGCTGCTTTTTGTGCCTTCTGGCTTTACACACACATGTACTGAGCCACGCATTGCTCTCAGGCTTCCCACTGTTGGAACTCACCGTGGCCATTTTTCTTGGTGATTTAATGCTTGCTCATCTCCTTGCTTGTCTCCTTCAGGGTTTCCAGTGCCTGATGGGCTCAATCTGTGAGTACACAAAGCAGGGAGGCTGGGTTTGTTGAGCCCTTGCACAGCCTCTTTCTTTTCACACATTAAAGAAGTCTGTGTAGGACTAATACAAAACAGCATGTAAATCTATTTATTATGTTCCTAGTAAATACCTTTTTTTTCTCAGCAACACGTGACATTTTTTCCCCTTGCTCTTATTGGATTGAACTCTGGGAAGAATTCCAGCTAAGATCCCATGTCTCTGTATTGTCTCTGGGATAAAGGAGCCTGTCAGAATGAAATAAAGACTAACTGCATCTTCTCTGACTTTGAGGCTCCAAAGGGTTTGGGCCTTTTTGCTGTATGGAGATGGGGAAGATTGATGATGGGAGATGAATGGCAGGCACGTGGGCACTGGCACAGTGGTGAGAGCCTCCTCTGGAGTTGTTCCGTATCTGAGCTCCAAGATATGCAGCTTCATGGAAAGCTATGGTTACTGTGCCAACACGGTCTACTTCTCTCAGTGAGATCTGTTTCTCCAGGCCAGGGCTATGCTGATTCAGATTTGTGTTCCTTGGTCACCTCTCAGTTTTCTCTGGAGGTCACCACACTCCCCCCTGTGAGCCAGAGGAACTGATGCAAGGCTCTATCCTGATCCTCTTGGGCAGCTTTTTCGTCACTGGCCATCAAGGTATTGTGAGATGGCCAGTAGAGGGCAATGCTGGTTGCCTGCAAACACCCTGTGCGATTTGGTAGCCTAGACTTGAATACCTATTGTAATGCCCTATCTGGAGTACTATGTCCAGACCTGGGGCTCTCAGCACAGGAGGGATGAGGGGCTGTTTGATCAGGCTCAGAGAAGGACCAGAAAGATGATCAGAGGGCTGGAGCACCATTCCTATAAACAGAGGAGAAGGGAGGTGAGCTTCTTCAGCATGGAAAAGAGAAAGCTCAATAGAGATCTCATTGTGGCCTCCTAGTACTTGAGGGGAGCTTACGAACAGGAGGAAAACTAGTTTTTTTGTCTGTTTGTTTTTTTAAATCTCATAGCGATAAGACAAGGGGGAATGGCTTTGAACTAAAAAACAAGAGATTCAGGTTAGATGTGGGGAAGAAACTTTTTAATCAGAGGGTGGTGAGGCACTGGCACAGGCTGCCCAGAGAGCTGTGGTGCCCCATCCCTAGCGGTGCTCAAAGTTGGGTTGGATGGGGCCCCAGGCAGCCGAAGCTAGTGAGTGGCTAGAGGGAAAGGCAATGGCAGACAGCCAGTTCTAAATTACTCAAAAAAGGGTGATAGTCACAATCCAGTTAAAGAAAGAAAGAAAGAAAGATTTACTTACCCATCCCAAGGATCAGCACTTACTAAACACTCCAAAAGAAAAGATCTCCAGGTATGTATCCTTTCCTTGTGGCAGACAGCCCTTAAATGAGGCTTAGGAAGGGGTGGAACCTGATTCCATCCCTTCTGGTTGCACAGGTGGAAGCAATTCACCTGTGCTCCCAGGGCTGGCTGCATCCCTTTACCAGGTGCTCCATCATTGGTTCAGGCCCTGACTTAGCAATTCCCATACAGTGGCAATCAGCCCACAGCAGGAAGTTGGATTGAGTGGGCTTTAAGGTCCCTTCCAACCCAACCATTCTATGATTTCCTGATTGTGTTTTCTCTCTCCATGTTCAAGCTAGAGCCTTTGGGTGCTTAAGGTCACAAACTGAAGGAGCTGACTGCTATAGTGCCCTGCGTAGTGTGGTTCTGGAGGAACTGTGCATTATGGCTGTAGACAAATAGCTGTCTTCTCTGAGTTCTTCTAATTACGAGACACCCTGGATTAACCATTACCCTGTGTAGCACAGCCCTGCAGATTCTCTTTGCAGGGGGCTGGTGACATATCTCTCTCTATTGCATTTGCTCCTTTTCTGTGATTTTTGGCATTGGCTAGGTCAGAACCAGAAAAGATCTGTCTGATCCCTGTGATCTGCTGCCCTGCTAATGCAGGATTATATCCTCCAGTGCACTGTGAGCACAGTGACATGGGAGCATGGCTCACCTACAGCATTGGCTGTGGTCCTCGTGGGGAGGGGACACATGCAGCATCCTGCCTCCTCTTTTTGCTTGCAGCTGCCAGATCATGTCCAGAAAAGCAAATAATAAAAAAAAATAAAAAAATAAAAAAAATTATCCAGTCTTGAATGCAGCTGAAATGTTTCCTTGTTGGCATTTCTCATTGTCAACAAATTGCTTATTGCCTGAGTGTTGGGTTGTGATTGCCATCCCAAAGAGGAGAGATCTGCCTCTGAGGAGGGGGGAAGCATGCTTGGGAGGATAACGTGTTTGAAGACGTGAGCTCCCCTCTGAGCAGGCTTTCTGAACAATGAGTCTTTGTCCAATCTTAGTTTGAGGATGCAATACTGATGGTATGATAATGCAGAAAATGTTTTAACTCCTTGGGGAGGGAGTTGCTCTTCAGGTATTGTCCTGATCTTCCCTCATTACAGATCGTTTCTTCTGAAACGTTGCATTAACGGTGCTGTGCTGCAGCATGCCAACGTGTGAGGTGG